AAAAAAAAAAAAAGTAGTAGTTCTACTTACTTCGGAAAGTAGTTGTTTTATTAATGGCATGTGAAAGCAATTTGAGAACCATAAACTTACGGAAATATAAGGAATTCTAAGGACAGAGATGAAAAGGGAAGGATATAGGGGAGAATAAAGAAAAGAGGAAAAGCAGAAAAAAAAAGGAAAAAATACTCAGTGGAGTTCTAGGATAGAAGTCTGATAAGAACTTTTGGCCATCCTGCCATTTATTTGAATGACTTGTTCCTCAAACCCAACTTGCACATTTCATATTTTTTTTTTTTACATTTTGTTTGTTTGTTTGTTTTCTGCTTTATAGCTGTCAGTTACAGTGATTGGTATTTAATTTTAAAAAGATATGAAAATTGTTTAATATTTTAATCTGCAAATTGCTCCATTAGGCAGATTTAATTATTTGTGCATTAATGCTCCCAAATATCTTGTACCTCTTAATGTGACCATCAGAAAATTTGTACTGAACAAAAATACTTTCAGTATATTATTGCAAGTGCTTCTTATATATTGTAGTATTTGTAAATGTGTGCTTTTTAATGTTGTCTAACATATTAAATGTGAGTGGTTAGTAAGTACTTTTAATTATACTGGTACTGTTGTTGGAACTCAGTCCTAGCTAAGAGTCTAAATCTTCATCTCTGTTTTTCAGACAAATGTAGTAGGACATTCTTTAGGATGCACTTGGCATTCCTTGAGGAATTCTCCTGGTGAAAAGATCAACTTACTGAAAAGAAGTCTCCTTAGTATTCCAAATACAGATTACATCCAGCTGCTTAGTGAAATTGCTAAGGAACAAGGTTTTAATATAACATATTTGGATATAGGTATGATTTTGTTTTTCTTTGGCTTTCCCAAGACATGTTTATTTAAACATGTGTTTGAGAAACAAAAATTTATTATAATGTATTTTATTGATCAGGGATTCTAAGTATATATAATTACTAGGCCAGTAATATATATAATTGATATGTCCCATTCTTGTGGATAATAATAATAGCTAACATCTATACAGTTATAATAGCAAAGATAGAATTTTACTATGTGCCAGGCACTGTTCTAAGGAGATCACATGTATCTATTACTGAATCCTCAGACTAACTCTATGAAGCAAGTTCTCTTATCCTTATTTATAAGTGAAGAAAGAAAGGCACAGAAAGGTTGAGAAGCTTGCCAAAGATCACATAGCTAGTCAGTAGTAGAGCAAGATTAGGGGGAGAGTCCCCGCAGATACCCTGGCTGTTAAACTAGCCCGGATGGGCTGCTGGGCAAATGAAAAGGCACCCAGATTTCTAGCACAAGTACCAACTTTCTGGTGCCCAGACCTTTTCTCTCTACTTTGTCACTGTATGCTGATTCTGGGAGGTAAATGGAGACAAGTCAATTTATAGTTTAGTCCCATCCTAGCCATCATCATCTGTATTTTCTCTAGCCCTTAATCATTTGGAAAGACAAATATGGACAGAGGGAAAAGCAAGTCAGTATGGATTTTCTTTTAATTCAATGTTTGGTATCTTTATTTATTTTATTTTTTTTTGAGACAGACTCTTGCTCTGTTGCCCAGGCTGGAGTGCAGTGGCACAATCTCGGCTCACTGCAACCTCTGCCTCCTGGGTTCAAGCAATTCTCCTGCTCCAGCCTCCCAAGTAGCTTGGATTGCAGGCACCTACCACCACACCTGGCTAATTTTTGTATTTTTCCCCCCAAGATGGAGTCTTGCTCTGTTGCCCAGGCCGGAGTGGACTGGCATGATCTCAGCTCATTGCAACCTCTCCCTCCCAGGTTCAAGAAATTCTCCTGCCTCAGCCTCCCGAGTAGCTGGGACTACAGGCATGTACCACCACACCCAACTAATTTTTGTATTTTTAGTAGAGACAGTTTCACCATGTTAGCCAGGCTTGTCTAGAACTCCTGACCTCATGATCCGCCCACCTCAGCCTCCAAAAGTAATTTTTTCCTTTTAGTAGAGACGGGGTTTCACAATGTTGGCCAGGCTGATCTTGAACTCCTGACCTCAAGTGATCCGCCCACGTCGGCCTCCCAAAGTGCTGGATTACAGGTGTAAGCCACCATGCCTGGCCAAGGTGTCTTGATTTAACATCAGTATAATGTGTGAGAAATTTTATATCCCTATCCAACCACAGTGAGATGTGGGGACCTTGCTTGTCAGGGCCCCCTGGTCCTGGGAAAGTAGGGCATTTAGGGCTCAAAGAACTTCTGATAATCTCTGCTACTTTGGGATTGAAGGATGGGTCAAGTGCATTGTCTTAGTAAACCAAGAATGATGTAAAAGTCAGTGCAGACAGATGGTTAGAAAAGGTGGCTGATGAAAAATTAGCTGGGCATGGCGGTACATGCCTATAGTACTGGCTATGAGGAAGGCTGAGGTAGAAATGATCACTCGAGGCCCTGAGGTTGAGGCAGCAGTGAGCCATGATCATGCCACTGCTCTCCAGCCTGGGTGACAGAGTGAGACCTTGTTTCAAAAAAAAAAAAGAACGAAAAGAGACCAAGTATGGTGGCTCACGCCTGTAATCCTAGCACTTTGGGAGGCCAAGGTGGTCAGAAGTTTGAGACCAGCCTGACTAACATGGTAAAACCCCATCTCTACTAAAAATACAAAACTTAGCTAGGCATGCTGGCATGCACCTGTAACCCAGCTACTTAGGAGGCTTAGGTGGGAGAACAGCTTGAACCCAGGAGTCGGAGGTTGCAGTAAACCGAGATCACGCCACTGCACTCCATCCTGGCAACAGAGTGAAACTCCATCTCAAAAATAAAGAAAGAAAGAAAAGGTCGCTGATGAGAGACCATTCATCCAATAAATATTTATTAGTGTCTACAATCTGTTGAAGGTTTAGAATACAGAGATGAACGAGCCATGTCATGAATAGGACTAGGAAGGATACAGAATCTAGGGAAAAAAGGAAACCTGAAATAAATTTTTAGATTATGAATTAATGATGCCTTTGAAACATTTCTTCCTACTTTTGAGAACCAAATAGTTCTTACAAATATGGAAAGCAGTCTAAAAGCCACAGTCTGTTAATTTGGCTAGTTTCCATACAGCTACCTTCAAAAGAACCTAGATATTCTCCAAAGGAGAGACACAAATGGTCTGGGCACAATGGCTCACACCTGTAATCCCAGCCCTTTGGGAGACTGGGCCTGAGGATCACTCGAACCCAGGAGTTTGAGACCAGCCTGGACAACATAGCAAGATCCTGTCTCAGAATTTTAAAATAAAATAAAAATGTACAAATGACCAAAAAACACATGAAAAGATGCTCAAGATCATTACTCAATAGAGAAATGCAAATCAAAACCATAAGGTACGAATTCATATCCACTAGGATGGCTATAATTAAGGAAAAAAAATAGCAAGTCTTGGTGAGGATGTAGAGAAATTGGAACCTTATACATTGTTTATGATAATATAAAACAGTTCAGCCTCCATGCAAAAAGCTTCTCAGTTCCTCAAATGAATTGCCATGTGACCCATCAACTCCACTACTTAGGAGTATAAATCAAAAACTGGTGTTTAAACAAATGCCTCTACACACAGATATCTGTATATTCATAGCAGCACTATTCACAAAAGCCAAAAGGTGGAAACAGCCCAAAACGTCCATCAGTGAATGAGTGGATAAACAAATTGCGGACTGTCCTTCCAATGAAATATTATTCAGCCGTAAAAAGAAATTAAGTTCTGATATATGCTACAACATGGATGAACGTCAAGCAGGGGCTGGAGGGTCGAGAGAATGAGTAACTGCTAAATGTGAATGAGGTTCCGCTTGGGGTGATGAAAATGTTTTGGAACTAGATAGAGATGGTGGTTGTGCACATTGCAAATAGGAAATATCGCCGAAGTGCTTACTTTAAAATGATTAATTTTTCTAAAAAAAATAAAAGAACCTAGATACTAGAACTAGAAAGCCTTTTCACTCATTAAATAATCCCATTGTATCTGGATATTTTCCACTAAATGGAATATCAAAATTAACATTTTTATTATGCCCACTTTAAATCATACCACACATGTTTCTACTTCTTCCCTCTTGCCCTCATTTCAGTCATCTTTAGTAAGAGTGACTCAACAGTTGATGGGAAGAACATTTGTTTCCTGGGTCAGGTATTGTTTTTAAAACACCATGACCCATTTACAGTATAAATAAAGAACTACACTCTGCACAGACGTAAAACCTAACAAACAACATGAATGGACAACTCCATAAATACATACAATTATTATGCATCAATTAAACTTTTTTTTTCTAATAGAAGACACAGGGGAGGCACAGGGAAGGTTTTGCCTTGACCCAAGTTATTCCTGGTTCAAATGCCTGCTGAAAATGACTTCCTAGTGGAAAATACAATCTCTTCAGTCCTCTAGCACATGGTTCTTTGTCTTTTGAGAAAGTTACTGTGGTTCAGTAATTTCCAAACACTGTTCAACTAACCATATTAGAATTGCCTTGGGAGCCTTTTTTCTTTTTTAAATGTAGGAATCAGCCACCCCCAACCCTATATTTGATTGAGTGAGCTAGAGTGTAGCTTAAATATCTGTATTTCTTTAAAGTTGTCAGATGATTATGAAGTATAGTATGTTTGAAAACTGCTACAGCTGAGCAGTTGTGGTTTTTTGTTTGTACAAGCAAAACAAAGATTACAAGTGGATGCTTAAAGACAGTAAGAATTGTTTTTACAAAGGGATCTACTTTATACATATTTGACATTAACTATCGTGTTTGAATGTGTCATTACAGAAGAACTGAGCGCCAACGGACAGTATCAGTGTCTTGCTGAACTGTCCACCAGCCCCATCACAGTCTGTCACGGCTCCGGTATCTCCTGTGGCAATGCACAGAGTGACGCAGCTCACAATGCTTTGCAGTATTTAAAGATAATAGCAGAAAGAAAGTAAACTTGGAGCAACTTAAAAAATCCTTCAGTAGCACATAAAAAGTTACCCTCTCGCCTCGTCCCAAGTAAAAACTTTTACCATAGTGTTTGAGTTTATGTCTTCTTTCTAAATCTTTCCATAGATTCCATCAATACTCCAGATTTAATTCTGTCCTCGTAGTTGTTATTAAGCTCTTTTTAACGGCTTCAACTTTGTATTGGTATATTGTATTTATAAACTTTGTACCACAAGACAGAGTGTAGCACCCATTTTACAGTGCCATGCACATCAGAGAAAAAAACTGCATGTTTGTATTTGATGATGATGATGAAATAAAAATGCTAGCAACAGTCTTTCTTACTGGTGCTTAAGCCCTTCTTTGCACAAAGCTTTGTAAAGGGAATTCAGAGGAAGCCCTTTAGAATTGGAGTTTTGAGGGACAGCACTCACAGGCCTTTATTAAGTATGAGTGTTAAATTTCAGGGAACACGATTAGTCTGCTGTGTATTTGAATTCATGTAACAAAGAGCGGTTATGATGGGATTCTACTCATTTTATTAAAAAGCTACTGACTTGACTGTCGCCCTGTTCTTGTTAGCCATTGTTATGAATAACATTTTAATGTTGATATTCTGTTATTTACATAGCTCTAATTTACTTCTGAAAGTCAAAGGTGAAAATAAAAATCAATGGTCTAAGCAAAATTTACAAACATGCATATAATGGGTTACTTCCTTACTTTTTCTAAGCCTATGCAACCTTGTATTTTTCTTTGACACAACCATACACAGATGAATTATCAGTTTAAAAAGCATTTGGCCAGGCACAGTGGCCCATGCCTATAATCCTAACTCTTTGGAAGGCCAAGGTGGAAAGATCCCTTGAAACCAAAAGTTTGAGACCAGCCTGGGCAACATAGTGAGACCCCATCAAAAAATCAGTCAGGTGTGGTGGCACACTTTTACTTCCAGCTACTTAGGAGGCTGAGGTGGGAGGATTGCTTGGGCCCAGAAGATCAAGGCTGCAGTGAGCCAGGATCACACCATTGCACTCCAGCCTGGGTGACAGAGTGAGACCCTGTCTCAAAAAAAAAAAAAAAACATTAGTAGAATTACCCAAAAAACCTTCCCAGCTTACTCCGTTGCAAAAATGTTCTAAAAGGAAGAGTGGTTAAAAGGTTAGGAAATAAGTCTAATGAACAGATTTTAATTTTACCTTTTGTGTTTCCATATATCCTCTTGTAACATCTCAAGTCTTCCCATCTGTGAGTACCAGCTCGTGCTAGCTTTCTAAGTTAGGTGGACATCTCAGCCCTGTTTGGAGATCAGAGAAAGCTTCATAGAGGAAATTTGAATGAAGGTAGATCTAATGTATTCATACAGAAGGAAGTATATAGAAGGTATTTTTGCCTGTAAAGAAATCATATCTGGAATTCTTTGAGAACAAAACTACAAAATAAAGGAAAACCAGTACATGTAACTAATTTTAAATTCTAAAGAGCACTTACCATAGCTCCATATTCTAAGCTCCATTTGTCAAACCGTAGAAACTTAGGTACTTTTTTTGACAAGGTTAAGGAATAGACTTAAAAGACTGGAAACAAAGCGAGGCACAATAGAATCTTGTGACTTTTTAAAGATTGAACCAAGGTTTTAGTAAATGGTCTTGAATACAGGGGGCAAAATGAACTCTCTAGAGATGACATTGGACCCTTCTGCATAGTGAAATGCTGACTTGGATAAACTGGGGGAAGATTTCATAAGGCAGTAGAAGAAAAGGATAATACCACTTGGTTGTACACAGTCCATATGTATTGATAAAATGAGGTCTCAGGATAAGGTGCCCAGAAGATAAACTTGCTGCTGCCTCTGCTTTTCCTGCTTCTGGCTCTGGAGGAACGTGCATTCTTACAGACACTTTTCAAATGTCACCTCTCAGATTGTCCGGATTTTCTAGGGAGTTAGGGATTTTCTTGGACCATCAGGTGTATTCTTTAACACCATTTTGTTTAGCCCTCTGTTAAAGCTCTTAACCAATATAATTAGTCAAACAGCTGCTGATATGCTACTGGGCTTGTATAGAGATACAGCACCTGACAAAGGGATGCCAAGTGGCCATGCAGCCAAGACCACTGATCATGAGCTGGGTTCTATACATGCAGAACACAGACATAGGCAGAGGGCACAGTATACTACATTAGCAAGCATCCTAGACTCCATGTCATCTGCCACTGTTGCACCGGTGTTTCTCCCTTGGCTTATATCTGTTGTCACTGATCCCATATGACCAGTTGATGAAAGAGGAAAATGCATGAACTTGACTCACATTTATATTTTGGCAAACTGAAAATAGATGGTGTCTGTATTACTCTGTCAGGGGTGGCCTTGAAAGTCAAAGGTAAGGAAAAATCCTCCCAAAGGACAGAACTTGGCAGTATACTTTGCCATCCATTTGTGGAGAAGGGGGCTCAGGGTTAGCATATACATGGGCAGTGGCAACTGGCTTGGCCGTGAGATCAGGGGCCTGAAAATGGACCAAATTACTGGGAACAAAGAGATTTGAGATAAAAATGGTAGATGGGCACATGAGAGTGGGCACGAAGTGTTAGGAGCTTTGTACTGCACTTGATCTATACCACAAAGTGTCCATAATAGAAAAGGCCCCGAACAAGTCAATAACAGGTTATAACATCCAGCATCTGGCATTGGAATAACTAACTACTGTGGCAGGATTGGAGGCTATGTAACAGACCTAACAGGATGGGCTTCTATACACTGAGGCTGATCTAGTTATACTCACTGCTGAATTTTCGGCCTACTAACAACAGAAACCAATGCTGCAATGCTGAGTGCCTATTCCTCAAGAAGACCAATCAGTGGCAAGCTGACTTACAATAATGATCCTAGCTTACAATAATGATCCTAGCAAGAGGCAGTGACTCATTTTGACAGGAATAGACACATACTGTAGATGATTCTCCTTTTCTAGCTGCAGGGCATCAGCCAGCATCACTGAGGGCTTTCAGAGTGCTTGAATTACCTCATGGGACCTGTTTTATAGCAAAGGAGGAAAGAGAGTGGGCAAGTGACCACAGCCTCTGCTTGTCATATTACAAGCTGCTTCACCCAAACCTCTACCCTGATAGAATGATTAAATAGCTTGTTGAAGGCATACTTAACACAAACACCATCCTTTAAAATGAAGTGTACACTTTAATGGTCTTTATATAGGGCTGTGTTCTCAACAGGTAGAATATATGAGTCCAAGAATCAAGGGATAGAAGCAGGAATGGCCCTGTTTACTATCATTCCCAGTGATTCTCTTGGGGGAAATTGTGCTTCCTGGCTCCACAACACTGGGTCCTGTCATTTAGAGGTCCTGCTAAAGGTAAAACAACTCCACCAGCAGATGTAGTTTATGGTTCAGTGAGACCCAAGAAGAGACTCATCGGTCTCATTGAATAAGCTACATCTGCTGGCTAGGTAGTTCAGGTTCCTTGTACCAAGAAAGTAGCAGGCAAAAAGAGGAGTCATGTCCTGGCAGATATAATGGATCTGATCATAAAGAGGAGGTAGAACCACAGTTACACAGTTGGAGGAAGGAGGAAAATGTTGGTACTCAAGCAGTGCACTTACGCACCTCTTGCTATGCTCTTGCCCAATTTTGATTGTAAATGGACAAGTATAGTAGCCATTATCAGCCTAAAAAGATTATAGGGACCAGGGACTCTGAGCCTCTAAGGATCAAGGGCTGAGTTTTATCACCAGGTAAGTCACTGAGACTAGCTGAGAGTGCCACTGCATCCAAAGTCACCACCATCTTTGGGTTGCCTGCATCCAATGACTGGGCAACAAAGTCCTGACCTTCTTGTTCCAATTTGGGACACCGAAAGGGCCAACCAGCTTCAAAGTTTCCCATGGGATCAGCTGAGAACACTGTTGAGGCTGTATCACAGTGCAAGTCCTCCTTCCACCCAATCCCAATTTCTTCCCATTCCTTCCATGGATGATGATCACAAAGCATTCCCTAATAAACCTGCTGCCCATTGTCTCCTGAGTCTGCTCCCTGAGAGTCCCACCTGAGACATGGAGTTATAGCTTCGAGAGAAAAGGAAATAAGAATATCATATAAATCACATAAGATTATAAAATTACAAGTCTGCATTGAAGATACTCTGAAATCTCTTCAGATCATATATCTTTTGCCTTTTATTAGAATTTCTAGAGATAGGACAAATTGTGAGTTTGTAGCCAGTTTTTTCTTTGCTGTTATTTTTGGCAGGGTTGCTATGGTTTTAATATGGCTGGTTTGTCCCTTCTCCTGCAAATCTTATTGAAATTTGATTCCCAGTGTGGTGGTGTTGGAAGGTGGGGCCCAGTGGAAGGTGTTTGGATCATGGGGGTGGGTCCCTTATGAATAGATTAATGCCTTCCCTTAAGGGACAGTAAGTTCTCTATTAAATCCCAAAAGAGCTGGTTGTTAAAAACAGCCTGGCACCTCTCCCCCACCCCTGCTTCCTCTCTTGCATGTGAAGCTGATCACACACCAGCTTCCATGAGTGGAAGCAGCCTGAGGCCCTCACCAGATGCAAAAGCCCAACCTTGAACTTTCCAGCTATCGAAAATTAGGAGCCAAATAATCTTTTTTCTTTATAAATGACCCAGTCTCAGGTATTCCTTTATAAAAACACTAAACAAACTAAGACAAGGTTTCTATGGATGGTATGTGTGTGTGTGCTGCAACAACAAAAAATATTTGCATTTTCAAAAGATTTCATGTCCAAAACAATATGTAGGAAATGAAATAGAAATTATGCTAATTTGAGGACAAAGTCCACTGTGAGTAATGCTGCATCTAGAATAACACTGCATCTCAAGATCCAAAGAAGTTAAAAAACATGAAAGAGCCCACATTGTAATATGAGTTCTAAAAAGGATAGTTTCATGAAAGTTTCAGAGTATTAGAACTAAGCAGCGGCTCTTACTACATTGAAAAAATTAATTTCTTTTAATGCATTAAATTACAGCTTTACCTGAAAAAAATTGTAAACTTGTGCAAATTACTGAAGATGTGGCCTACTCAGAACATTTTACAAGCTTAACAACATGTTCAGAATTACTAGCTTGACAATATATTCAGACAGCAGATCATGATGGCTTTCTGCCACAAATACAGCTGATACCAAAAAGGGGAAGATAACAATAAGCCAAGTCTTACATTTCTTGTATTTATCATTTTCTGATTTCCTCATTTCCCTTAGTAATTTTTTTAGGTTGAGACTTATCAAAAAGGCCATCTGTGGAAAACAGTGTATAATGAAGATCTGATAGCTATTCAGTCAATTTGAACATTAGATAGGGCAAAGTAGATGGATCAGAATATGTGGGGTGTTCTGCTTCACTGCTTGGGCTGGGGCAAGAGGGAACATTGTGGAGAGAAGACCTGAATAAGCTGGTTTTTCTTTCTGTGCTAATCTGAGTGAGTGGATAGCTGCCACATGTTTACAGCATTTTGTGCTAATAGATACAGTAGAGGTTTGTAAATTATTTACATACATCTCTCAAAAAAAGAGGCAGAAGACAGAGGCAAACTGTTTTCAAGTATATGAGCTAAAACCAAAGAAAGGCTTGGATTTACAGGTGTCTCCAGTTATAATTTTTTAAAATAAGATGAACAACTGGAGCTCATTTAGATGGCAGATTAAGAAATAGTATA